AGGTACTAGTTCTCCTACAAGTACGCGATATCTCAGCACCAGCTGGAAAAATTTATGATATCATAATCGAACAGTCAGCATTCGGGTATTCCAATTAACTGAATGATAATTCGAGTATAATATATACGAAGTCAATTCGAGTGGAATGAAAATTGGATAGTTACCGAACGTCGGCAGTTTCTTTATATGGCAAGGGCGGCGTAGTAAAAAAAGATACTGTTTGTTTTCCAGGACTGGTTAGAACATTATGAGTTAAAGTTATTGTCCATAATGCTTGAATAGTGGAGCTACAGAAGCGAATAGTCCCCAAAATGGAACAACGGATGCAGATAGTCTACAAAATTCGCATCAATTCCAAATTGATGCAGATCATTATTGTATCTGGTATTTTTCATCTTTCATCATAACTGAAGTATGTTACATAAGTATTGGACGTAACATTATCAATGCACAGATAAATGCACACTTCAGTTATTTAATGTAAAAATCCAATTAACTTATGACTTGTATTGCTTTCTTTGCAGAGGCTGCTCACTCTTACTTTCTAAATTATCAGTGTNGAATGCGGTATGTACATGAGGAGGTCGAGATGCAGCAGCAGATTAGATCAGTTTGAAGACTAGATCAGAACGCCAATTAGTTCAGATAAGCAACTACTAACACTGAGCAAGTGAAATAAGTGCCATAAGTTAAAGTATAGCGTTCAGTTGTGATTTTGTAACCAAATCTGGACCAAACTTGGAACTATTTCACTGGTCAAATTGCAGTCACAAAAACCTAAATCAAGAAAGTTGAAGATCATCGTCACGTAGTATAAAAAATAAGTCAAATAAAAAAAATAAGTATTGCATATATTACTAATGAGAGACATATTCATTAAATTATATGGGACAATATTCAAGATATATGTTAGTTGCCACAACCTTAAAGTGTTTTCAATTTTGTGACGATACTATTGACCCTCTTCAAGGTTCAGGTTTTCAAATCTTTGTAGGGTTTCGTCTAAATCCTGTTCATCTTCATCTGAACTCTCACTTAGTTGATCATCAGAAGATTCTGCGAGGTCGATAGGGTCAAGGTTTTCCACTGAACTAGTAGACTGACTAATACTAAATTCTTGATGACTAATCTGCTGATGAGCAGATTTATTTGTAGGCAGACCAGCTATACCTACGGGTTTGAATAGCATTATGTATCAATATTGCACTTTTTTAAACTACCGAAAATACTTCAAACTCTACACCAAATTGTCCTCTTATACATTTCATTTGATGTGTGTCAGATACGGAAAAGATGGGCATGCAATTGACTTCTTCACCTTTCTTTGGTATCGAACCATGGTCTCTCTTTATTCTTCGTCTTCTAGAGGGGTCGTTCCTTCTTATTTGTAGCATATTCTCTAAATCCACAATGTACAAAAAACCCGCGATGAGAAGTTCGCAGGTGCTCTCATTCTTTTTGTAAGATTCCTCTAGATCTTTGCTAGTTCGTTCATCATATTGCCACCAACCTATAAAAAAATATTGCTAGAATTTCTGGAATCACAACTTCTTTTTTACCAATCATAGGTAGTTCAAGTGCATTCAATGCCAAATCAAATAACATTTCAACTAGACGAATTATCATTTAACAGGTTCAGCCCCGGGTTCATCAATGTGACTCACTAAACTGTACTCTTTAGACAGTGAGGCATAACTTTAAGGTTTTGTATTAGGGATACCGTGGCATCAACTATAGGCCACACAGCTATATAAATTTCATTGTAAGTTGGACAGGGTGGTCCAAGGAGCAAAATATTGTCGTAAATCATGCCCGAAAGAAAATAACGCCGGCCGCCACTGGTAACCATAAACCAAACGTAGCTAAGAGCGCACGAATGTACGATGATTCCCCGCCACTCAAGAAGCAGCGAGAATCATGCTACCGATTACAACGTAACTTCGGCGAAATTTCTATGGCATTCGATCACGATATTTAAAGACTAGCCACGAGGATATCGACACAGTCAAGTGGACGTTACAGTGCGGTACGCGAAGTGATTTAGTAAGGCGATAGATATTCAAATAATAGTGTGTTTGTTGTATGTAAAGTGAAATAAAGTTAAGTTTGATTATTCAGTGTAGTCAATTATCGGTCAACCCACGGGGAAAATCTAACAATATTTTCTGATCGGATGTGAGACGGTTTTTGCGAAGGATATGGAAATTTCAAAACTTTATGAGAAAATAAAAGATTATTTTATTCAAAATATGCAAAAATGATCATAATAGTATAACACCTCATTATTTTAAAACAGCATTATGTGTTGAGAAAAAACAAGAAACACAATAATGTTGTTTGCATTCATTGCACAAAAACTTAGATCGAGAACACTTGTTCTGAGCTTCCTTACACCCCAATTCACTTTTTCCCAGTAGTTCTAAAGCGACTTCTGTTTTGAACTCTGTTATAGTCAATTTAGTTTGTGTAACCTGTGTATATACAATATAAGCATTCACCAAGGCACTACCAAACAATAATTCTGTAGCTAATTTCCTGTACCATTTATTCCCTCCTCACAAGCAATATGAATACGCTTTTTTCTGATCCGAGATTTTGAATCATTGGGATAAGATATAAAGATGGCGACTGAGCGTCATCTGGGAAAAATATTAAATAGAAAAGGGGGTCCTGTGACACATCATTTTGAAGCTCCTGACGGATACTTCACAACCCAATGGCGGAACATTCAATAATTAATTCAAACACATTAATATCGATATTTCTAGAAATATTCCTTTTTATCTGCCATATGGAAATTCCAACAACCCGATAAGGTTTGTTAAGTTATTTTTTGTTCATAAAAACGTCAAACTAACAATGAACATCATTGTTCACTTAGAATATTCTCATTTAGTTTTCGGTTTCACTATTAGAAAGGTACCACGTCTACAATCTCTAAAATGGTCAATTCTCGTCCATTGGAAGAAAAAATTGAAGCAATTTTTATTTATGGTACGACGCGTAACCGAAATGATTTTCAATGAACGTTTTCCGAATCGTCCTATCTGTAGAAAATATTTGAGGGAACTTGTATCCAAATTCACAACTACCGGTAGTTTACATAACAAAAAGCATTCAGGTCATCCGTCCATTCCCGAAGAACAGCAAGTGCAAATAATTGATGAGGTGGTAATAAATCCTGAACAGTCTACTTATTCAGTCGCGAATGTTTGTGAGTGTCTCCTTCTACTGTGTGGAGACTTTTGAAGAGGAATAGGTATCATTAATACATAATATTAAAATGGTACACCAATTAACTGAAGATGACCCTGATCGAAGAACAGAATTCTGAGTTTTTCGGATGAATGTACGTTTAGTTTGGATGGAGAGGTAAATCGGCAAAATTGTCGATATTGGAGTGATACGAACCCTCATGTATACCGGCAAGTTGACACCCAATGACCTCAAAAACTGAATGTTTAGGCGGGTATTTCAGATGACCACATCATAGGACATTTTCTTATCGATGATAATTTGACTGGAGATAAATATTTGGATATGTTGGAGAATCGAATAATACCGTGCATCAATAGGGCAATTGAGGATATAAATATATTCGAAAACGAAATAGTTTTTCAGCAGGATGGTGCATCTCCTCATTATGAAGCTCCAGTGCGACAATTTTTGTATGATCATTTTCCTGATCACCGGATTGGCAGAAAAGTTCCTACTGAATGGCTACTAAGGTCTCTTTATCTCACTCCTGTAGATTTCTTTCTATGGGATATTTGAAGTTTGAAAAATTTGAGAGAGAATATCGTGAGGCATTGCAGAGAAATAACTCCCGAGATTCTCACCATGTGAGGGCGGCAATGGATGCTCGTTTGTACTATTGTATGGAAGTGAAAACGTTGAGAACATTTACTATAGAACATTTTTTCTTCTCATTGTCCAGTCATCAGATTTTGATTCAAGAATTAATAAAAAATCTCTTTTTCTGATTTATTGCTTCCATATTTGTCTCTAGAACGAATTTTCAAAATGTGGCCTCCTGTATAATTGTTGACCTGTTTTTTATTTTTTCCACAAATCTTTGTTTCAAAAGGTACTCAGGGTGGCTCGTTTTCAACTCAAATAATTTGTAGTTCCCGAACCATAAGTTTCAGACCATATGTTTTATACTTTGTTGAAATCTGCTCATCATGAACCATCTGATAATGCGAAGTAATATAGGGTGCACCATTTCAAAAAAAATTGGTTACATGTTCGGGGGGTGCTATAGGGAAAGTAACATCAAATATGAATATGTCAAAATGTGTCCCCCTGTATACTATTGTTGACGTGTTTCTTTTTATTTTTTCTGAAAATCATTGTACCAAAATTTATTCCGGGTGGCTCGTTTTAAATGTAATGCACTGTATAAGTCAGCAGTAACTACACATGAGCTTAGCGAGAAATTTGTAGAAATCAAGTTACTAGTGCTAGCCGAGGGATATCCGATTCGGTCAAATCGGTAAGTTCGGGAGGCGAAAGAAATCCACTTCGACACAACAATCTTTCAACATTCGAGATGGAAGATCTTTTGAATGGAGCTAACGAAACGTCAGGAAGAAATTCCACATTACTTTGGCCCTCAAACCCGATGAAAGAAACTATGAATTTTTTGGTGTGCCATTCCAAAAACTCAAGTAGGGGATAGTTTTTTGAAACACTGTTGGTATAATGTCGATATACTCTGGAGGAGAGCATTTTATGGTCTGCTTCATGTCTGCAAATTTCATGTCAAAAATATCGAATCAAAGTCCAATCGTCTCTATGGAAGAACCCAGAAGATCCAAGACCAAAAAAAGCACGCCAAATTCGATCAACCGAGGCGTAGTGCATCAGGAGTTTTACCACATGGTCGTATGGTCAATAAAGAGTATTATCTTAAAATTATGCGCCGCTTGCAACAAGCAATACGAAGGAAACGTCAGGTGTTCATCGCTTTTGCATCAAGATAGCGCACTTTTTTAAAGGACAAAACAGAAGCACTACTGCAAAATCCTCAAGGTGCTCTAAGAACGGTGCCTCTGCGAAAGTAGCGATTCACATTGGATTTGTATCGCTGGAGACTAAATCCGTTTGAGAAAACGTTCTGAGGAAGTTTATTCCACATAAACGTAGTTCTTCAAATGAAAGAGTTTTTGAACAGTGAAGTTCGAGGTGTACTGAGTTGAACCTCAAAACGATGAGCAGCCACAATCCAACGCTTATTTCTGATATGTACCGCTCTTGGTGGAATCAAATGTGCCAAGTCACTTGAACACTTCTCGTGAAAGTATCTATAGAAAATAAACAAATCTCCAACCTTTCTTCGATGTTCCAGATCCGGACTATCAAGGTTGCAAGTGATGATGGCGTCTCCAATCAGGCGGATGGCTCTTTTCTGGATAGAATCCAGTAACTTCAGGGTACGCTTAGGGGCGGAACCCCATACCTGAGAACAATACTTCAAAGAAGGTCTGATCTGAGCTTTATAAAGCATTAAAAATTGCTGCGATGTGAACAGTTTTCTGGTTCGGAACAGTGTTCCAAACTTTTGAGAAGCGGCTTTTGCAATTCCATAATTTTGCCAAGACATACTGGTGTCCATTTTAACCCCCAACAAACTTATCGAAGCAGAAGGTGGAATTGTCTGACCTGACATTATTATATCCGGTTCGGAGACATTTATCTTTTTGGATAAAACCTATGCCAGGGTTTTTGTGGCATTGAATTGAACCTGGCTAATTCCACACCAATTGGAAATTACTTCTGGATCCTCATTAAGACATGCAACTTCCTGCTGCCTGTGAAGATGTGCATCCGCCACAGATGTCCTGGAATCCAAATGGAATGACGAAACGACTGTGCTGTCATCAGCAAAGCAATATATTGGATTCTTGGTTTTATCCAATAAGTCGTTGATATACAATAGAAAGAGGATTGAAGACAATATAGATCCCTGGGGAACACTAGCGTTGATGGTAAAAGTATTCGAGAGATATCCGTCGACGGCCACTTTCAGAGAACGTTCTTTCAGGAAGCTGGAGAGCCATACACAAAAATGATCCGACAAGCCATAGCATCGAAGTTTGGCCACCAAACCCTCATGCCACACATGGTCAAAGACCTTAGAAATATCGTCATTACTTCTTCGTAACTTTTTAGCCAAAAACCACACCGTAATCATGCCTCATTCACCAGATTTGGTTTCGGTTTATTAAACTTTTCTCATTTACTTGAGTAAATGAGAATAGTTCAATAAACCATAACAAATAAAAATCTTAGTAGAAATTAGACAAAAGTTATTTTCTCTATCTTATATTTAAATTTAATTTTCACAAAATACATAGGTCATCAGTCAAACAAATATTGAGAAAAATTTATTAGTGTCCAAATTCGGTTTCGGTCGAGTTTCGGCAAAAAACGGGTTTCGGTTTAGTTTCGGTTTCGGCGCCAAACCTGCCGAAACTACGACCGCAACCGAAACTGCATTCGGGAGTT